ACACACACACACACACACACACACACACACACACACACACACACACACACACACACACACACACACACACACACACACACACACACACACAAAAGCCCAGTTACTTGTCACTGGCAAGCGTAGACTGTTCGTGTTTGTTGTAGAGTGTTGACGAATAGCAAGTGCCCCTGGATTTGTTTTTCTTCGAATGTACAAAAGAGCAAGTGATAATAAAAGCATAATAATATCTACGTAGCTCTGAATCTCCGATGGATTTCGATGTAGCGCGAATGCCCTCATAGCACTGCACCTGGACACGAAGGCGGGCATGTGCTTATTTCTCGTACCTGGACCTACAAATGCCCAGGTGCGTTCTGAAAGGGGAGCCACTATCACCATTCCCAACTCCGTAGCGCCTGGTTCAGTCAATTACTGCCACGCAATGGTCATCGGATCAATACGCAGCACTGTTGAGGACTGCACCTCTATTCCCGCTTTACACAAAAAAAGAAAAGAAAAGAGAGAGAGAGAGAGAGAGAGAGAGAGAGAGAGAGAGAGAGAGGTGATAGATGTATAATTGTTATTTCCTTTCTGTGTTTCTGCCGTCGACTTTTCCATTCCAAACAGGATTTGAACACCTGACCTGCTGATCGATTACCCTAGATGTGTACCACTCAGCCGAAGGGGACAGATGATTCCATGATCAATGATCAGTCATTACTAGTTCGTAATTACCTTATGCCAAATCCTTCCAGTTCCTTTTCAATCAACTTTTTATGAGTGATAGGCTTGATGGCATCGAGAACAATCAGAATTGCACTGCAAGTACGCGCAACGCCAATAACCTGCAGACGCAAAAATGTACAGTTATAAATAGTAAACAAGCAAACAGCAGTCTGGCGAGGAGGCGACTAAGCGATGCAAACATGCACGCAAGTGTCAGGGAAACAAATTACCAGAGAAAGACACGACAAAAAAAAACTACCCATCAGTCGATCGAACGATACTGAACACATGTTTGGTCGTAAAAAAAAGAAAGAAAGAAAGAAAGAAGAAGAAGAAGAAGAAGAAGAAGAAGAAGAAGAAGAAGACTCAGGAATGACCCGGCACCGCCAACAACAACAGTCAGGAGACCAAATGGATCCAATGTTCCTGAACCTGAAAAAGACTCAGGTACAAGCAAGTCACCCAGAAACAAATTACCTGAGAAAGCCAAAGCAAGAAAACACTACCCATAGGTTCGACGATAATGAACACGTGCATGGTCGTCAAAAAAAGAAATGAAAAGACAAAGAAAAAGCAAAAGAAAAAAAAATGAACACATGAACAGATATACAAAGAGAAAAGAAAGTAGATCCTTTGTACATGGAAAGTACCTTTATATGTATCCAACTTAAAAGTTATAACCACATCCATCAATGATTCTAAGTCGTTTGACGACGCCTTTTTGAAACTAAAAGTTAATTGTTTGAGTGGTTTTCCTTTCCAGCAACTGTTTTAGCATACAGCTTCGCTCCCGAATCATTTTTGTGTTTTTTTGCTTTGCTTTTCCAAACGGGTTTCATAAGACAAAGTTACCTTCAATTGAAGGCCAAGTAACTCATGGAGTTTCATATAATGCAACTTTTCACCTAATTGTTTTGTTTCTGTCTGTATGACAATCAATTGTTTATGCATTTTCATTGGTATGTGTTCGTTGGGCCTTATGGTGACACGATAACAACCATAAGACAGATAGAATTCAATTTGATTGAATTGATGATTCATCATCATCGCTCCAACGAGCTTCGCATTGTCAGCAGCTCTTGCACCCCCCCAAACCCCCCCCCCCMCCAAAAAAAAAAAAAAAAGTGGATTGAAGTTCATTAAACCGAATGTATGCTGAATCACATGTGACATCTCGCATTTTTTTGACTACCTTCTTCCCTCGAAAGCAACATACGGTCATTATAGCCATATTTAGACTGAAAGATAACCAAATACATACAGCTATAATGACCATACGTTGTATGTGGCGGCAGAAGGTATGTTTCGTTCCTACTACGATTGATACTTGTATACCTACCTCCATGCCAGGAATCTGTATGTTTCGTTACTGAGACGATTGACACTTACATACCTACCTCGACACGTACTGAGGGAACTGTACTCGCTGTCGTCCGTGACTCCTGCGCAGTGAAAGTGAACTCAACTCTCCTCTCTCATCTATAGCACCCCCCACTCTAGAACCACCATCCTATATCACCAAATGGCACCTTGTCAAATGTCCTTCATTCTATTCCGAAATCATCATTCCAGCACACTCCACATCCATGCTTGGCATATTGCATGGGTCCTGGGGACCCTTTCACGCAAGTGTGTACATGTCATGCATCATCCTCACACACCATGATCAACAGTCTCAAGTCATAGACAAAGGTAGATGAGAAGAGGACCGAGTTTCACAGCTTATATTATCAGAAATATGAATACAAAGTGTTTCAAAGTTCCCCTGAGTCCAGCGCTCATCAGCGCAACACCAATCTCTTGTCAACTCATCAATATGACTTCCAGTGAATCAGCGCTACTCCTGCAGATAGTCTCCAAGTCATCAATGTGGTCACTACTCATCAGCGCCACCTCTGCAGGTCACATCCAACTCAGGTAAGTATCTTCCATAGCCAAACCTTGAATGAACACTATCAGCCTCAATCCCTTCCTTCTACGATGCATACACACTCTTCACTCATGAGGATCTACTCTGGATACTACTCATAGCTACATACTAACCCCTCTACTACTAATGCTAAACTCACTGGGCAGCTATGGCTGCATCACTTCCAGCGTACAGGCTTCTTCCTCCATTCAGCGCATCTTCTACCTCCAGTGCTGCTCCTCCTGACTCAGCGCACAAGTGCACCAGCACTTCCACGCATTGCAGCCAGTGGAGATCTGGCGAGGAATGAGGCAGGCAGCTCCCTTTATAGTGCTGGCCACTCCTCGCTGGGTCTGCATTGGCTCATTTCGGCCTTTCCTTTGTCCCAGACCCTGCATTGCATGTGTCCCAGTATAGTCCCAATGAAGTTCAACTGCTGCTGAGGCCTCTCGGCCTGGATTTGGACTTGAAAGTCTGGATCTGGACTGACCCCTTGACTTATACCAGAACTGGGACTGTGCCTATTGACTTTACTTTCGGACAGGCACAACTCTAAACAAACAGACACTTTCCTTTGCACAAACAGGTACACTGCCTGCACGTACAGACACACTCTTACCCGAACAGACATGACATACACATCTCCTGGTGAACAGGTAAGTCTTTTGACAATGCCCTTTGCCTTGGATTTAGATGTGCCTGTTGAAAGAGAACTTGACATTTGACCTGCTTTCTCGTTTCTGAGCCCTGGCGAGATACCTTTTCACAATGCTTTACTTTTACAAGGCCCGTGCTGCTTTACTTTTACAAGGCCTGAGGCCTATATCGGGTAAAGGCCCTTTTACTCCCGCCGGCCTAGTTTCAAAGTCCTCTGAGAATCATTTATTCATCAATGATATAGATTCCTTTTCTTTCCTTTTCATATGCAGACACAATATGAGGTGCAGACTCTAACAAGTCTTCCCTGGTGAACCAGCGATCCTTGCTAGGATCCTGGTAGGCAAACCTCACCTTATATTGTCGTTGTGGTCTGCCTCTACGGCCAGTGTGAAAAGTACTTTCTGCAATAATCTTTTCCACGTCATACCTTCCACCCATACTTGGAGGTATCGCTGACCTGCGGCTTGGAAACAACTCATTCGTCGCGCAAGGCAAGAGCTTTGAGGCGTGGAACACTGGATAAGTACGCAAATGTAAAGGAACCTCAATGACATATGAAGGACCATCTACATCTCCAGTTACGTCTAGAACCTGCCAAGGTCCTCTGTAGGCGGGTAAAAGCTTTTGAGAGATGTTTTCTTCAGGAGCAAACTCTTTAGACTTCACCCAAACCAAATCCCCTACAGCAAATTGAGACGGGCGTCTATGCTTATTTGCCTGTTCAATCATCTGATGCTGGGCTTTGAGTATGTTTTCTTTTACCTTCTCAATGTCTTTCTGATATTGGACTGCAAACTCACTAGTTCCTAGAGGAAGCTTATGGACTTGATCCGGGTTCAACCGATCAATGGGTCTGTGTGGACGCCATCCCAGATGTAACTCCATAGGAGTCTTACATGTAGATAGATGTACAGAGTTATTATAGGCACTAGCAACTTTAGGCAGATGTTCATCCCAGTCAATCTGATCGGGACGAATGTACATGCGCAAAGTTTGCTGCAATATCTTATTCATCTGCTCAGTCTGACCACTAGTCTCAGGATGCCTACCTGATGACATTGTCAACTTAGAGCCATAAACATTCATCAGTTGCTGCCACTATTCACTTGTGAACCTAGTATCTCTGTCACTCACTATAGTCAAGGGATGTCCAAAGTCTTTTACCCAATGGTTAAATAATTCCCAAATTACCAATTCAGTCTTTGCTTCCGAAGGCAAGGCTACAAAAACAGCCTACTTAGTGAATCTATCCACTACGACCATTACTTGCGTTTTCCCATTTCTGCTCTTCACCTTAGTATCCATGAAATCTATAGAGACAGAGTCTCCAGGGCCGGTAGGGATAGGCAAGGGCTTAAGTAGCCCAAGGGGCGATTGCGTGGTGCTTTTGTTTCGTTGGCACACTTGACAACCTTGCACATACGCGATACAGTCTGCTTTCATCCGAGGCCAGGTGTAGGAACGCAATAAAGTCCCATAAGTCTTCTTCCACCCAAAATGGCCTTCTGTATCATGGCATTCCCCCAAGATCATACTCTTGATCTCTTCATTATTGGCTATACACAGCCTATCATGCACATCAGTTCGTTCAAACAATAGACCCCGAGTTACTTTATGATCGGGAAACTCTGTTGGCTTTTCTTGCACTAGCTTAATCATGGTTCCATATATAGGATCAAAGGGATACGCATTCTTAATTTTCTCCTGTAGGTCAGTACCCACATCTAAATAAGTCACAATAGCACCGAAAAAGTCTGATCTACGACTTAGTGCATCAGCAACAACGTTATATTTACCCTTTATTGGCTTCAACTCAAAATCAAACATATCAATTTCCGCAGCCCACCTTGTCAACTTAGGTGTCATTCGCGCCTGCGTTTTGAGCCAGCGAAGCGTTTCATGGTCGGAGTATACCTTAAAATGCCTGCCTAGAAGATAGTGTCGCCAATGATTAAGAGCCTCACGAAGAGCATACAATTATCTTTCATACGTCGAGGCGGCCACTTTCTCATCAGGCAACCGGCAAAACATAAACTCCACAGGCCTGTATCCATGCCCATCGTCTTGCTGGAGTACAGCACCTATACCATATTGACTAGCGTCGGTCGTGACCACGAAAGGTAATGAAGGATCCGCCACTTTCAAAACCGGATAGTTGATCAAACACTTTTTCAGACGCTTGAAAGGCATATAGTGCAGTCTGAATCCCACTTCCAAATTACTTCTTTCTTAAGTAACCGGCGAAGGGGAGCAGCTATTATCGTAAAGCGCCTTACGAACTTGCGATAGTAGTTGGCTAACCCAAGGAATGACCGCAACTCAGTCAAGTTGCGGGGGTTCGGCCAGTCTCTGATTGCTGCTATTTTGGCATCTTCCGGTTTGACCCCATCTCCATCAATCACATGTCCTAGGTATAGAACCTGACGCTTAGCCCATTCACACTTCTTTGGGTTTAACTTGAGTTTTGCTTCTCTTAATTTATTTAGCACAAGTCGAAGGTGCTCAGCGTGTTCCTTTTCATCTTTACTAAAAATCAAAATATCTCCTAGA